GAATGCTTGGAACGTGTAGATGCATAGACACTAAGCCATTCATTTGCTCCCATGAAGGGTTTTGGTTTTTTTTTTTTTAATTTTTAAAACATTTTGGGACTGTTTTGATCTCATATTCGTGGTCAGCAAAAATGTGTAGTGCATGTATCATGCCTGAAATTATCTCCTGGCTTTCTATATTTTTCTTTTTTTTTCTTTTTTTTTGTTTAAGAGCTAAAGCTTTTGCTGATCCATGTGATCTTCCTCAAATCTTTCTACCTATTCTATTCTGTACTTCTCCAATACAGTTAAGAAAAAAACATTTTTTAAATAGCTACTATGTGCCAATCATTGTGCTAAGCATTGTGGCATTCTCTTCCCTCAAGCAAATTACAGTCTAATTGGGGAAGTCAGTATAAATGAATGATGTCAGAAAAGGAGTCTTATGGTTTAGAAAGTTACTGAGGTTGGTTAGTGGAACCACAGAGATTTGGATCAATAAAATCTTTCTATAAGTAATGATAGTATTGATTTTTTTATTGTTTCAGAATGGGAAGGGGAGAGGAAGGTAGGAACACAGTTACAAGGCAGTTTGGCAAGACAGTGGGGTAGTAGAGTAAAGCATGGCTATAGCCTATCTACAATAATGAACCTTGGGAGATGCTCACCAAACAACCCAGCCTTTAGAATTGAAAGGGTTAAGTCTTCCGAACATGGTTTCTGGTCTTGGGAGTGTTGGGAGAAAATTATGGAGAAGGGGGCAATTCTTATTTTTTGTTCTAGTGTGTGAACCTGTGACTTTATCCATGTAGAGAATTGTCATTGGGCTAATTTTTGCTAAAGCACACCTGCTACTCATGCAATTTACAATTTTAAAATGCTGAATGGGGCACCAAACAGTTAAACACTTCACCTATTATCATATAACTAATGTGTCAGAATCATGACTTGAACCCAAATCTTCTTCATTCTAAAGGCTGGCCATCTATACAGGAAACCAAATTTTTCTTCCACATATTTATCACAGTGTGTGTTTTACTTGTGTGTATTACATGACCTTTTCCCAATAAAATGTAATCAAGGGATGCTTTTCATTTTTTGTTTTTGTACCCCCAGTGTTCAAAGTTCCCTGAACAAAAGATTCACTTCATAAATTTATGCTTGATTGTTTTGAATTTACCCAAAGCATTTCATTCAGTAATCCTGTATAGACACAATTCTCTAAGTAGTCTGTCATACAGCCCTGGATTCAGGAGGCCCTGAGTTCAAATCCAGCCTCAGACACATAACACTTACTAAGCTGTGTGACCCTGGGCAAGTCACTTAACCCCCATTGCCTAACCCCTCCCCCCCAAAAAAGTAGTCTGTCATATATTCAATTTGAAAGAAGAGTAACTTCTTGGTAAATCTTTCAACCTCAAATGTGGATTTTTTCAAAGTGTTCATTACAACGATAAAATGGAAAAATATTTTTTCCTGTTCTTAAAAAAAAACAACTCCAAACAAGCACTGTTAACAAACAAACAAACCAAAAAAAAGGTGTAAAATGCTTTTCAAATGCTTTTCTGTGGCCATGACTCAGAGAAATTTAGGTCATAAATACATGCTAACAAATAAGCCATAATGGTTTAGATAAGATAAGTCTATCTAGCAAAGACAAAATATCAGGCCTAGTCTATAGTTACTGAAGTCTGAAAAACATTATTGGGGGAAAAGGTGACTCTCTCTGAGGAGAGAAAACCTAACCACACTGGCCTAAAACCATTTTTCCAGTCTTTAGATTTGGGGAAAATCCCAAGTATATTTTTCCTTTTCATTCAAAAAAATCTGTATACTAAAGCCAGTGTTCACTGAAAGCAAACCTATATCTGAATCACTGGAAGGCCTATTGGGAACAAATCCTTGGGTTTCAAGCTGTCTTACAAAAGTTTTTCTATGAGACTTGAAAGTACCCTTAGAATTACTTATTACAGATAAAGGACACATCTTAAACTTGGGGGCTGGGGGAAGGGCAGGGAAGTATACCACCAAAGCAAACCATTCTTTATGATGTACTTGCCTATAAGAGTTGTGAAAGTATCCTGAGTATCTGACATAGAGAATTCTTCTTTTGCATAAGAAGCCCAACTGATTTGGACAAAAATGTTGTTTCTGCAGCCTCCCTCTTTATTTTCTTCCAGGCTCTTGCTTTTACTTAAAAAGTTATGTAGTCCCATACGACAAAATTAATTATATTATCATTCCCTGGAAGAGTTCCCCATCTTTCATTCATTGTTTGTCCTCTGATTTCCTCTTTGGTACCCCATCCAAAGGCAAAAAGAAAGATGTTTCTCCATCAAAGATCATGCTTCTGCACTCTGGCCATACTTTATCTAGCACTCCTACATCTTTCTACTATGCTGTTCGTCACAGCATAGCACAGAATTAAACATTAGTTGAGTGTGAAAGAATGTCAAAATACAAATTAAACATACTTGAGGTTTCTCTCATGAAATATGTTTTTCTTCTTCCTTTACTAACAAAAAGATGGCTTTTCTTTTCTGGAAGGTAAACTTTCCACATATGTCTTTGATGCCATCCCTTCTCATCTACAAGAGACTTACTGCTCCCATCCTTCCCCTATATCTAATCTTTAGTCTTTCTCTAACTGCTTACTGATTCATATCCTTCTACCAACAAATGTGTCCAAGTTATCCTTATCCTCAAAAAGTCCCTCTAGATCCTATCATCCCCTTAAGGTATCATTCTATATTTCTCTTCTTTTTCTCAGCCAAACACCTAGAAAAAAAACCTGTCTATGCTGGTTACTTCTACTTCTTCTCACTCACTTATTCTTTCATAGTCTGACTTCCAACCTCATCACTCAGTTGAAACTGCTGATGCCAAAGTTACCATTACAGTTGTTATTGCTGCTCTTCTATAAATTTTTTTTCAAATAACAATCATTGATTTTCTCACCCTCCAACCTTTCCACTTTGAGAGAGAAAGAGAGAGAGAGCATAGGAGGAGAAGTAGGGAGGGGGAGGGAGAGAGAGAGAGAAAATGAAGGGGGGAAAAGAGGGAGGAGGGAGAAGAGAAAACCCTCAAAACAAATACTCATAGTCAAACAAAGGAAAGCCTCACTTTGACCATGTCTAAAAACATATGTCTCATTTGGCATTTTGAGTCCTTGAGTCACTTCTTTGTCAGGAGATGGTTAGACTGCTTCACCTTCAGTCTTCTGGAATAATGTTTTATCATTACAATAGAGTTCTCAAATCTCTCAAAGTTGTTTTTTCTTTATAATGCTGTTGCTATTGCATCCAGTTACCTCTTGGATTGCCAAAGCTGATGGGCTTCTCTCAATTATCATCTTTATTAATCTCTCAGAAGCATTGAGCACCCTGAATTTCACACTTTTTCAGTTTTTTCTATCGGTTCGTCATCCAATTTCCACGTCCTAATTCTTGGGATACACCACGGTTCTATCCTGGACCCTCTTCTCTCTGTATATGTTCTTTTCCCTGGTCACCTCATCAGCTCAGCAGAGGAAGACAGAGTGATAGATAAAAAGGCAATAGATTATGGTCAGATAAGGGTATGTCAGAGTTCTTGAACATAGAGGTAGTGCAAGTGGGGTTGAAGATAAGATCAAAGTATAACCATCTTTGTGTGTGACTGAGGTGGGGTGGAAGTCTAAAGCACGGGAAGTCAGTAGGCTGAAAAAATGAGTGGTTAGGGTGTTTAAGGTAGCATCAATATGTATGTTGAAGTCCCTAGTATAAGGGCAGAAGTTAAGGAGGAGAGAAAGATTGTGAGCCAGATACTAAACTCATTGAGTAAAGAAGAGGCATGTCCTGGATATCTACAAACAACAGCTACCAGAATTTTGATTAGATGATTGATGTAGATTGTACAGACCTCAAAAGAAGTAAAAGTTACTAAGTGATGAGCATTTATAATCCACTTATAGAGTGATTATAACATTTGAAGTCCACAAAGCTCTTCACATGTTATCTCATATGAGATTCACAGGTGACACAGGTGACCCTGTGACATACAAGGTACTATTGAACAGAGGTCCAAAAGAATCCAAAATCCAGATTTGAATCCAAAAGAGGTCAAGTGACTTGCCCAGAGTTAAACCACTAGGAAGAATCTGAAGCATGATATGAACTCAGGTTTCCCTGACAGTAATGGAGTTCAAGTGATATAGCAAGTATGGTTTTAGGAATATACATATATGTACATGTGTGTATCTATATGTATATGTATGTATGTATGTGTGTGTGTATGTATGTGTGTATGTGTGTAATGTATATCCTCCACAATCTGGACTTATCACTTTACTCACATAAGGAACTCACAGTAAGAAAACTCTTTCCACCAAAATAAATTAGCAATTGATCTATAACTTTTAGTTTTTAGAGCATTTAAGGGGATTGAAAAATACAATCAGTTGTCCAGGGTCACAAAGCTAGTATTAGATTGAAGTAAGACTAGAACTTGGGTTTTTCTGACTCTAAAGCCAGACACATATATACTCTTCTACACTGCCTCTCAGAACTCATGATAAACCAATTAAATTATAACACCTGTAGTGAAAAAGTTTCTACCTTAACAGCTATCTGTGTCTTTGACAACTAGATTAAATAGTTTTCTTGGCTAAGGTATGGTTTGAATCAAGTGCAGTGCGGCTGCTTTTATTTTATTTCTTTAAATGAAAGGTTCCCACACACCGAGAATCAGAATCAATTAATATGATTATGATTAAGCAGGGAGTTTTGTTTTCTCTTGTTTTTAAGCAGACAATGTCCTCGGATACCCATTCAACATAGAACACAACCAGAATGTGGCCCCACAGTATAATATGTAACTTTCTTCTTTGATAATCAAAATAAATTAGTCTGTATGTAAATTTCTTACTCCTGAAAAAAAAATTCTTCAAAAAAAAATGTTTAATGCATATGACAGAAATGTATTGCTAACAAACACTTAGAAGCAAACTTTACATGATTAGAAGAATAAATCTGAAAACTTACTGCCTCCTTTTCGGCTTTTTTGTAGGTCAAAGCTTCAACTCTGGAATCCAGCTCTGCTTGAATTTGGTCTCTTCTTTTCATAACGCCCTTTATATTAAAACATGCAGATACAACATGTTGCAATTCATTCTACTGTTTCTGTAACAATCTTACGAAGCAAAATTAATGAGCATTTCAGTATAAACAAACTCTTCTATTAGGAGGGCAGGATGACAATATGGCTCCCTGGTGATTTGTTTTGGGGGGTTTTTTGTTTGTTTTTATTTTTTGTTTTTAGAATTCAGGGCTTTTGTCAATTTGGTCCAAGTTCAAATTCTCAGTTAAAGAATGTCTTAATAAATAAATTTTTAAAAAGAAAAAAAAAAGAATGTCTTTAAGAAAGGCAGCATGGCATAGTAGATTAAGATCTGGACTTGGAGTAAGGAAAACCCGGATGTGAATTTTGCCTCTGGCACTGACACAAACAAGTGCAAACTATTTAACCTCCAGAAGGTTCAGTTTCCTCATCTGTAAAAGGATGAGGTTGGCCTAAATGGCCTATAAAGTTCTAAATCTCTAATCCTGTGACCTTTTGGGGCCTGTTTGGTTGTTTTTAATTCGCCATTAAAGAGTTAACTTGAAAAGGCCTATAGGGTTTGTTTCTTCCATTCTAAGAGATTCTCTGATTCATACAGTGTCCCATTTGAACGTCATAAGGTATAGCTGCTTATGAAGCATTACAGCTGTTGTCAGAGGAGAGGGGGCTTTAAGTTTCAAATAGGAATACGCAAAGGCTTTGAGGACAATGTTAGAAAATAGCAACCTCCAAAATTAAGTCTAATAAAAGCCAATAATATAGGCTGGATTAGCAGAAGTAACTAACTCTAAGAAGTGACTGATGACTATGTTTCTAATAGATTAGAATGGTTCTGAAATAAAGCCTTGAGGGTACCAATGTAATGTATAATTTTAACAAAATATGATCTACATCATGGTATTGAAAATAAAGGAAATGTTGCCTTGTGGGTGATAAGCACAAGCTGTGACCTCAATTTGAATGAAGATATATCTCTCAAACTCAATCAAGAATATCAATGTGTTTCTTAGTATCTTCTCAGAGAAAAGTAATAGAATATAATTTATTATAAATGAACTCAACTGCATTGCAAAACATGCCCAAGAGACTGTAACTATAAAAAGCACATGCTTATATATGTACAAACATTTGTATATAAGTATTTATGTATGTACACACACTTGCATGATACATATGTATAGCTCTACTACGGTACTTGTAATATATGTAATATATATTGCTATATGTGTATATGTATTCATATATAAGTGGCACTTTAGTCTTTGTATAGCTATTAAATATTTCTAAGTATATTTGTGTGCATTTATATATGGATAAACACAAATATACGTGTTGTAGGACCAGATTTTAAACTCCATGAGAACATTGCCCTTCTTTGAATTATCTTTGCATTTCTCTCTTACCTAATACAGTGCTTTACACTCAGCAGGCCATTAATAAGTGCTACATGAATAAATGACAGGAATCTAAAAGAGTGAGGCTTAGCCCAAAGTATACATTGTGACCTAGTAAAATATCTAAATCCTGGAACATTAATTATATCCTTCTGATTTTAGGGGGCAGAGGCAAACAGAACATAAAGAGAGTCAGTTTAAGTTCATTAGTTTTAAAAGTTTCTTTGTATTAAGAGCTTTGCAGGCTGGCTTATAAAAATGTACCACTAACGCTCTGTGGACTGGTGATTAGGCAGTGAGCTGCCTGTGGAGGTGGAGAACCAAAGAGTAAGAATTCATCAGGACAGCACTGCTTCTTTACACAAGCAATCAATCAAGTATTTAGTAATTGCCTCACCCAAGCACTATGCTAAGCACTAGAGATACAAAGACAAAGCAGAACAATGCCTGACTTTCTGGAGCTTGCATCCTAATGGAAAGACAGCATGTATAGATATAGCTATATACAAAACATAAGTTTTGGAGAAAAAATTTCCTGCAGAAAGAGGCACTAGAGTGAATCTTAAAGGAAGCCATGGATTCCAAAGGTAGGCAGTAAAAGAGAGAGAATTTTAGGCAGAGGGTCTAGCCCATCCAAAAGGCATGGAGATCAGAATTGGAAGGTCACATACGGACCAGTAAGGAGGCCTATATGGCCTAACATGTAAGAAGACTAAAAAGGCAGGATGAGGCCAGATTGTGAAGAGTTTCAAGTGTTAAAAGAGTTAATCTTTGACCCAGAGGAGTCACTGATATTAATTTACTGAGTAGGGGAATGACATGGCCAGATGTGAACTATGGGAAAATCACTTTGCCAGCTATATGGAGTATGGATTGGAAAAAGAAAAGACATGAGGCAGGCAGAACAACTAGGAGGTTATTGGAATAGTCCAGACAAGAGGTAATTAGGGTCTGAAAGAGGATGGTGGTTGTGCGAGTAGAGAAAAAGGGGCATAACCTGATAGATGATGCAGACATAGAAACAAGATTTGGTAACTAAGTAGATACGTGGGGCAAGTGAGAGAGAGGATTTGAAAATGACACTGACGTTGAGAACTAAGAGGATTAAAAGGCAGCTACATGGTACAGGAGATAGAGTGCTAGGCTTGGAGTCAGGAAAACCTAAATTCAAATCTGATCTCATATACCAAGTGTGGTGGTGGTGGTGGTGGTTGTTGTTATTACTTCATTCTGGAAGAGGACCAATGACATGCAGAGGGATGTCCTGACTTGCAAGTGAATTGGATTTAAGTGAGGCAGAGCTGTGAAGAGTCATCAGCCTCACTCTTATTAGCTGTGTGACCCTAGTCAAGTCAGTTATCCTCTGTATCAACTTCCCCGACTGTAAAGTGGGAATAATAATAGCACCCAGCTCTCAGAGTTTTTGTGATGAACAAATGAGATAATGCTGTAAAATGTTTAGAACAGTGCTTGGCACAAAGTAGGCACTTAATAACTGGTTGTTCCATTCTCTTACCCCCTAGAAAAGATGGTTGTATCCTCAACAGTAATATGAAAGTTCATAAGAGGGGCAGATTGAGGAGGAGGAGAGGTTGGAGAGGGATAATGAGTTCTTTTTCAGACATGCTTAGTGAGTTTGAGATTTCTACAAGACAAATAGTTTGAAAAGATCAATAGTTAGTTGGTGATATTGGAAAGTAGTTGAGGAGAAGGACTAAAACTGGATACATTGTATAGAGAGTCATCAGAATAGAAATGATAATATTATCTATGGAACTGATAAGGTTACCAAGGGCAAAAGTATAGAGAAAGGACAGAAGAAAGCCAAGGACAAGATATTGGGGAACACCCACAGCTAGCTTCAGTGACATGAACGATAATCAGCCTATTCAGGAAGACTGAGGAAGACAAGTCAGATATACAGGAGGAATACGAGAACAATTTCATGAAAATCTAGAAGAGATACTCTCTAGGACAAGACGATCAACAGTTTCGAAGGCTGCAGAAAGATCAAGAAGGATAAGGACTGAGAAAATGTCAGGAGATTTGGAGATTAAGAAATCATTGGCAAGGTCAGAGAGAGCAGTTTCAGTTGAATAATGAACACAAAAGCAAGGCGGCAGAGGAGTTAGAAGACAGAAAGAAGAAAAAATGGAACCAATCGCTGTAGACAGCTTTTTCAAGGATGAGAAAGGAAGGAAAGATATAGGACAGGCACACATTTGGAACTGGCTCTATGATAACATGATTTTATGGAAATATCTCTTAATTACATCCAATTCCTTCTGTACTAACCACACACATCTTGGTTACTTTATAATTTAGTCCTGAAAAGGGACTCATTCATTTGGAAGGAACAGCATGTACAGCATACTAAGGTATCATCACTATGGCAACAATACTTTCCAAACCAGAAACTGGGACAAATGATATTCCTTTTGAAAAAAAGTCACTAAAAGTATACTTTCTTTTCTGAAATTGTGACTGTCCATTAAGGGTAAAAACTTAGAAATGACATGGAATATATTTTGTAACTGGGAATTCGGAGTGAGCCGATCAACAAAAGAGGGAAATCTCTAATGGAACTAATATCAGTTCTTATCTGGCACATATTACCCTATAAAGTAGTAGTAGTAGTAGTAGTAGGAGTAGCAGCAGCAGAAAAAGAAGTAGTAATAGTAGCGGTAGCAGTAACAGTAGTAGTAATTATGAGCAGCAGCAATAGCAGCAACAGTAGTAGTATCAGCTCACTACAAACATCAACTCAGTGGATCCTTACAATAGTCCTGGCAGGTAGGTGCTGTTATTATCCCCATTCTATAGATGAGGGTAAACTTAGGTGGACAGAGGTTAAGTGACGTGCCCAAGGTCACACAGCTAGTAAATGTCTAGGGAAGGATTTGAATTCAGGTCTTCATGACTCCAGTTTCAGCACCCTATCCACCAAGTCACCTAACTGCTTTACCACAAGCTGGCTTTCTGGTTTATCAATTGGATAAGTTGTGGACCAAGAATAAATTCCCCAGAGCCTAACCACCCTTGGGTGAACAGATAAAATCAAGTTCACAAGCCAATCAAGCTAAGAATTAAGATTCCTACCTGAGGGCATCACACTATGTCAGGTCCAGTTCACACAACTAGCTATCCTCTTTCCTGACTGTCTCTCAATCTCATTAGCAATTATACAATACCATGTACTCCTCACACAAACACATATGCATACAAACATATATAAGATTGCTAATACTTATGATAAAGTTACTCCACATCTCTGACATTTGGTTTCCTTATTTATAAAAAGGTGGTATCAATATGTTCATTGCCTACTTCACAGGGGACCAAATGGGAACATGGATTTGAAAGTCAATGAAGATGCTTCAAAGCACTATCCAAATTTGAGGAGTTATATGATCTGCCTTGAAGATCTGGGAACCTTACTCAGAACTTAAAAAGTTGAAAAACTGAACTTGGCTTTAAAAGGGCTAGAAACATGTTAAGATTGTGGGAAAAAAATCAATTAAAAAGCAAGCATTTATTAAGTACCTACTCTATGTCGGGTACTGAGCAATGTGCTGGGGATAAAAAGACAGAAATTAAATAGTCCCTGCCCTCAAGAA